CTCTCAGTTAATCAGCATTTGAATTTTAAGCTTTACTGCCACGACCTTTCGGAATGAGATAAGAATTTTTGTTTTTTTAGAGAGCGATAGTGACTGGGAGAAAACATTGTGGAAAATGCGTTTAACTTTTTATATCACTTTACACCTGAGGAGCAATTTCCCAATCCGGCTTTTCTATAATTCCATGTAGCTTAGTTGGGTTCTGTTGGGTTAATCAAGGCAAACACCCTTGTACTGATGCATTTCTTGATTGTCATCACATGATTACTGTATGAAGTAGCAACAGTTTGAGGAAAATTTAAATTTAAGTCACATCTGGGACTTAAATGACTCATCATGAGTGTGTGAGTGAATAAAAAATGAGGTATTGTTGTAATATTTTAAGGAGGAACAAACTCGACTTGGCCTGATCAAGGCATACACTGATCGACTCTGTTTAAGAGAGAGAGGAGCCACGTCAATCATTGCCCATTTGAAAATGGGAGATTTTCAAGCAGTTAAAAAGGTAATAACTGATTTCTTTGAAGTACATTCCAACGTAACAGGAAGGGAGTTAGATGGCAACTGAAACATGTGATTTCTCGGCTAAAGTACTAGTTAAAAAATAAAAAGCCAAAAAAAAAATTTTGAAGAAAAATAATTTCATGCAGTAAGATTGAATAATAGGACCTGCACATAATCAAGTTTTTTTGTCGAGATAGAGTTTCAATTGAGGCTATATCCCACCTTTAAAAGGTTTGAGATTGAAATTGTTTTGTAGTTGTCCTCTAGTCAGCGGTCATCTAATTATTGCCCTTGAGAGCCCCCTCGACGATCGAGTGTGATTGGTGGCTTGAAGGATAATTTTGTTTTCGCTGAATATTTTTTAATGCTATTGCATGCATTGACGCAGTTGGAGAGAACAAAGATTGACCAGTTCAAGCTACCAGAGAAACTCAGTTTTACTCTTCCGCTTGGTAATTTAACTTCTCTGAAGATCGCTGCATTGCTGACGAACGAACGGAATGAGAGTCTGCTTGAAACAGAGCACTTTGAGGTGAAACTTCCTTCGGTAAGTGGTGTAAGACTAATTCAAAAATTGATCGAAAAAATAACAAAATAAATGATCTATGGGATAATGATCAATTAACCAATTAACTGAAATAGGTATCGTTGTAATTATTTACAATGACAAAAATGAGCTGGGGCAACAAACGACGTCACGAATAAGTGAAGATGCTTAAGAAACACCTTTCTTTGATAAACTGATTAGTGAAGGTGAATGAGAAAGCTTGGCTAAAAAAATATTTTAGACTATGCAATCGATTTATGCATAATCTGTAAGGCGATAGGCTGAAATATTCGCTGAAAGGATCGCGATCACATCAAATGTTCATGGATTAAAAGACAGTGATTTAGCTGCTGTATGTTGGTTTCATAGGTTTAACATCTTTACCATATTAGTACGATGAAACGTTTCATCGATAAAAGAGTAATCAGATTACTTGCATTTTCCCCGCTAGACTCACTTGGAAGAGACGAAACCAGCGGTTGAGCATGACCACACCTCGGAGTAAAGAAAAGGAAAGGGATTCTATTGGTGAGGCGGAGAGGCGTTTGACGCCGATGTCGAGCCTCGCGCCAAAGGCTGCGGTTGGATGCACTACATTAGTCACCTGAGGTAGCCGCCTGGCTTAGGTCTATCCAGGGTCCTGAGCCCGCAACGTTTTAAGGTTGATGCAAGTACGGAGCCCTATGTTGAAGGCACAGACGGCGACCGAATACGTCTAAATCGTCCGATCTACTCTTATCCGCTCTGTAAATATGTAAACATCGTTATAAGTCTCTATAATAGTGCATAGTGTGCAACGTGTACTGTTTAGCCACGCTCTTTAGATTAGCGAAAAATGACTACAAATACAGCAACTTAACATAGTATTATAGCGAACAGCTTTGATCACATGTAAGTAATATCTCTTTGATGTAGTCTATATCATGTGAACAGTTTTTAGTAAGGCATTAGAACGAGAATATTTTCCGCACAGTTTTAATGCTATGTGTACGCTATGGTAAAATAAAGATAGTAATGCCGAGATCAAGTTTCATTTATTTCTCATTTTTCTTTTTCTTTCCCTTTTTTTTTGGGGGGGGGAGGGGGTTTGGGAGTGAACTTGAATGTATAGATGTTTGGGATGATCTTTCTTGAAGGCAATTAGTCGAATCAATATATGTGGTCGTATGGTTACAAGGGCAAAGTTTTCGATTATTTGCTAAATTTTCAATCTGATATTGCTCAAGTCGCGAAGGGGTGTCACGCTGCTTTTTTAACGCCATCATGATCTTCTTGGTTCAGCTCCTCTCGAATTTTTAAAATGAAATGTGTGCACCATGCATGCAGTACTCAAACATGGAAGAAAAAAATAAAACTTCTTCCAAATAAAAAATTAAGATAAATAATTTGTAAAGATAAGATGAAGGAGTGAATTAAATATATATATATATATAAACAGAAAGGAAAAGGAATAAAAAAAATATAGAAAAGAGTCATCAGACAAGGATCAAACAAGAAAACCTCCAACAGCCGGACATATTTTCCTTTTAATTGACTGCTTAAAGTGTTGAAAGATTGAAAAGTGACATTTACCTTGGTCCAAGTGGCAAAAAAATTCGGCCCCTGCATATCAATTTGACTTGTTACACTCTAGTCTTTTTAGCTATGTTTCCAACTAAGTAAAGATCAATTTAACGCTATCCGTCCCTGTTGCCATTCGATTCGAGGCTTTTTTTAATTATTTTTAGAGACTTCTGATTAGCCTTAGCGTGTCTATAGTGGACGGCGAAAATCATAACGCTTATACAAAGCTGCAAGGCTTGGTACTGAAGTTGAACACTGACAATCCATTTCGGGACGTCATCCAGCAGCATTGGATTCTGATGAAATTATTAAATCATGGATTAGTGAATGATTAAATGCATTGATTATTCAATTTGATCGAACATTCTCCACCAAAGGTTTTAAAAGCTGGATAATGTTTACTTCTGAGTTACGAACCCTCTTGAATAAGCGTGGCCCATCCTGTTGTCGTTAGAAAAAAACCAAATGATCCAAATTTCATCTCACGAGTTAACTGCTGGGAGATTTCAGCCAAACAACCCTTGTCTTTTAGACAGAAGAAATATTGTAGTATTCATCTTTCTTATAAGCACAGGTCACGTAAAGTTCGGTGAGAATTGTTAAATTTGAATGAGCATTTTCCTCGTCTCTCCGTATCCACTATTGACATCTAAAAGACATTGAGTGTATTTGATTGAGGGAAACATAGCTAAATTTGACCTAGGAAGCATAATTTAGTCTAATCATTGAAAAGCACAAATATGCCTAACCCTTCGAACAGTTCATCTGAAAAGTTTTCTTGTGTTTCTTTTCAGTTGGTTTGTTGATCTTGCTATCATTGTCCTGTGGAATGAAATAGGGAAACGAAATTGATACATCAACTATCTTGATATCAAGCCTCTGTCGTTTTAAAACGAGTTCTTGATCAATTTTTCTTCCTCTCTTTTTCTCTTGTTTTTTCTTGTTTTACTTTGTTTTGTCTTTGTTTTGTTTTTGTTTTGTTTTGTTTTCGATTTGAATTGTTTCCCCAACCACTTGTTTTCACCTTAAAGTAAACTGTTAGTAGCTTAACCACATCTTTTGAAATCAATGTTTTAGTCGTGTTTATTAATTCTTCTTTAATGATGAGTAATTTCTACTTTGGTTTCCTCGTTGTAAAGCGTCTTGTAACTTCGGCAGCATTGATATAACCGTAGAGGTATAACATGAATAAGGTAAAAGTTATAATGAGTTTATTTACCTTTTGGAAAAAAGCCACAACCTCGTTATCAGCCGTGTCGTTTTCGTGTGTTGCTCTTATTCTACAGAAGAACTGCTGCTTAGTCATATCAGCGTGTCTCACAACAAAATCACAGTAAGGAAAATCTGTCGCATTTTCTGGAGAATTCCAGGCATCTCTTGATGCTATCGTCTAGGCAAAAGGATTGCATAAAAGTTTAGAACCTGGGAATCAAAATCCTTAAATGCCTGCGTTTTCAGGTGCTATCTACTGGTTTAATGTGTGTTTTAGCATCAAAACGAACTCTCATTTCTAGTGTCAATTATCGCTTAAGGTCATACTATCTAAGAACGCACTCACTCCCTATAGAGTAGCCTGAGCTTACTTTCACTTCGTCCCCAACGATTTGCCATCCCGCTTCCAAGTGAATAAACTTCATGCTAATATCTTGTTTACTGTTGGATACAAACAAGCTGGACAGCGTTGTCAACAATTTGATTCCTGAATCTTCTCCTTTCTTACAAATCTGCTGTAAATTGAATAAAAGGAACCATCTGAAGAGGCTCAACAGATCAAGTAAACAAAACAACATGCCGAACAAACAGACAACAACAAAAAAATAACTCATCAAAGCAAAGAGCAAACCAAATTAGGAGACCCAGATTCTGGCCGAATTCAAAAAACTTATTCTGGATGAGGATGAAGTATTTAAGATCATCGAGGCAATAACCTTAATTTTCAACTCCTTTTGTTTCTCTCCTTTTTTCTTTTTTTTTTTTTTTGTTTAAACTTAACCTTTAATCCTATAGAAAAATTGTGATTATGAGTAAATGTGTTACCTTGAGCGCCATTTCGGAGTCATCTATCAGATAAATCCTAATCTTCCAGTCGCAGCCTTTTGTTGGGTCCTTTCCAAAGATCGCCATTTGCATTCGCTTCTGGTCATCTTTTCCTGGAACTCCAAAGGCTGCCAATTCAAGATTTTCTCTCAGCAAAGGCAAGGTTAGCTGGATGTCGTTACGTTTTCTCTCCACTTTGGCATCAGGATACACTTCTTTGATATTTATCCAGTTTTCATTTTTCTTGCGTTGATTGGAATGTGGCCGGCATTTAATAGAGATATCCCATACGTTTCCCTTTACCATCAAACAGCAGTGTTCGATCAAAATGGGCTGTGGAGGAAGGGGCCCATTTTGATTTATTATGTAACGGCCGCTGACCATCACCGCTGTTAAAGATAAAGATAACATATCAGTCGAGTTACACGCCTTTAAAAAACGACATAAAAACAAGGTAAGGAGATGAATAATGAACTAGACTTAAAAAAGCCAGATGACCAAGTAAAGCGATAAATCTATATGTAAATATATGCCAATTACATGCGGGCCCAGTAAACCCACCCATCCCACCCCAGGGGAGGACATCCACCACACAGTAATCTTGTGCGTGGGAAATTAACGTCTCCTACCCCTAACCTTGCAGGAGACGGGGCCTACGGTTTATCCGTCCTTATCCGAGAAGACTAGAATTTCTATCCATTTCTTGTTATTATAGAAAGGTAGCAAATTCCCCTCAGTTATTTTAAGACCGTTATTGTTGGTCCGGCCGGGGCTAAAACCCTCGAGCTCCCGCACAACAGTCTGGCGCTCTACCAATTGAGCTAACCCGGGGGCAATTGAGCTAACCAATCGATCGATTGCTTAATGATAATGATAACGATAATAACAATAATGATGATAATGATTGCACTGATATTGATAGAGATGATGAAGGTGATAATGACAATGATGATGATGAGACTGCTAACGATGGAGATGGTGACAGTTGAAGTTATAATGAAGATGATGATGATGAGTCTGTAAAGGTGCTTCAGTACAGTCCCCACATCAAATGACAACCTATTGACAAACAATTCACCCGCACTAACGTGCTGAAGTAAATTGGAGCTCATCCGGCATTCTGAATTAAAAAATAAAACAAAACGAAACAATTAAACAAATGAACGAACGAACGACCAAAACAACTAAAAACCATGTTGCACCACATCAGAGGTAAAAAAACAAACAAAACAAAAAAATCGAAAGTGTTTGCTGCAAAGATCGGCTGACTAAGAAAAAGTTTCCTCATAAAATTTGAAATGATTTCATATGTTCAGAAAAGGTGAAAAGGGAATAACTCAATCTTTATTTTCAATGATATTTTCAATGTGTTATCCCATAAGTACAGCCGCTTATTTTAAATTCTGGGTAATACACTGATGAATTTTAATATATGCAACATTTTCGTTATTTGCAAGATACATTCTTGCATCAAAATACATTTTTGTGGGATCCAGTGACTGTAGACTTGTGCTTTCATTGACACATGCGTATTGCCTTACCTGGACGCATTCTTGCTGCTGGGCCAGATTTTTGCCTTTTCTTGAGTTTTACATGGTTTCAACATCACAAACATCTCTTTCCCTCTTTGCGCTGCTTGATTCGTGCTGACTGGGTGGATTTTGTCGGGTGCGTGTCGCCAATATGCAACTTAACCATGAAAATGAAAGAAATCAAAACAAGGGGTTTTCCCCTAATGAACATTTTAGAGGTTAAGTTTATATTCTAGCCAAAATTAGCGCCCTAAACAAAGCTCGAGAAGCATCTAATGTTGCCAAGTTTGCTTATCAAAGCCCTTTTCGATGTCCATTTGATCTCTGAATTACATTTAGCTAAATGATAAAGGCAAATGTCTTCAGAACAAATGAAAACAGAGACCACCGATTCATTGAATATGATAGGAGCAGGTCATCAACCGTCACCGTCGGCGTCTGCGAAAGTTTAAAAATAATCAAAAGGTAAAACTAAACTTCTCATAAGATTATAGTTCCTCTTACTGACACTTTTTCTTCATATTGAGCTGCGAATAGCGAGTCTTGCAAAAGTGCCAAAGTAAGGAACATGTTGTGAAACAGGTCTTACATGAGTAAATCGAAAATAAGAGTAAAAGGCCGGGGTTTTCCCCGATAAACAAAAAAATTGCAATGAAGCACATTTTTAACCTTGAAATAATTATCAGAGCCACAACATCTGAATTCCAGAAAACTCTTAAGAGAGCACTTTTAAATTAATTACTGTAAGTCTAATCGAGAAGCGCTGATGGAAGCACCACACTTTTTACATTTTTTTTTTATTGTTGCACTTTCAAAATCTCTTACAGGACAGGCTCTTTCGTCAAAGTAACAGCCTTCGGGACATTCGAAAATCTAAAAAGGAAGTAAAAGGAAAACCTTCGCAACCACTCAGTCTTAGCAAATAAAATAGTCTCTTTTTAGAACCCAAACGTCCCAAAAGAAAAGATCGTTTAATTTTGATGTGAAAGCAAGTTTGGTAGTGTTCAAAACGAAAGTGCAAAGGGAAACCCCCCTTGCCATAGGAAAGAAAGAAAGAAATTCATCAGTGAAACGTTTGTGTCTTGAGCGCAGAGTGCAAAGTAGGTCACCGCCGTAAGGGATTTCGCTTGCCGTGTCTTCATCTAGCGAACATATCCTTAAATTTTTTTTAGCGTGAAAAGGGCAGCAGGATTTGAGCAGTCGTTTAATACTGAGGCTCGGAAAATATCAAATCAAATTAGCTCGAAATTTTGGGTGCTTAAGAGAATAACTCACCGCAGCCAACAAAGAATCGAACAAGGAATCATCTTGGTTTCGAATAAGGGGTAAGAGTCACTAGAGGTATTCATTTACAAGCATCTTGTTCAATTTGAATTGTTGTTATGATAGGAATATCAGATATGTAACTGCATGGATTCTGAGACAATACTAATTTTTTTCCCACTCATTGACCCGAAAGCGAAAATACTTTAGGAGGTAAAATGTTTGCCTTTGTTTTCATTTTATTCGGGGAAGCCCCATTTGAGTGATTTCGGCGTATTCTATGAATATATTAAAACCTTTCCATGACGAAAGTCTTCGCAGGGGTCCATTGCATTTCTTGTCTATTAAAAGAAGGACTGATCCCTTACCATCCCGATCAAAGGTTATCTAGGAGGCAAAGTAGAGTGCACATCTCATACTGAAGTGACAAAAGGAAGATTATCAGTATTAACCCATAATGACAGAAGTTTTCTGTTTGGCACCAGATTGAAAACTGCTGACGGGATTTCGTTTTGGATTTTGGAACACATACAAAGGTAACTAATCTATTCGTCTGAGGCGGTCTTTACACACATATACGAGGCTTATCAAGGTACATATGTAACTTCGTGTTTAACACGCGTGTCTAACACACGTGTTTAACACATCTCAGCGAATAGAGTCACAAGTATTCTTTGTAATATCGATCTTTATGCCGTTATTTAAGTCAATGCGTGGACGAGAATTGTCATTCAGTAGCATAAATTCTGCCACAAGCAAATGACTTGTTTGCACAAGAGGTTAACAAAAACAAGACTAAAGCCTACGATCTAAGCAACGTGGAAACGCATACGCCATATATATAAATATACGCTTCTCCTCAAATTTATTCTACGATCTTTTTTATCCAATTTTTTTCTTTATTAATGCTGCAGTTTACAGCAAAGAAGTAACATCCTACCCCTGTGCGCAGAATTATGATATAATGTCCGATAACGTACCAGAGCGTATCCAAGAAACTTGCGTCGATGACGACCATTACATGGTGGATATTTTCAGTTATGTACGACCAGCGACAAACGGGGGCACAGGATCACTACACCAACTAGTCATGTACGTCACCAGGGCCTTGGAGGATTCTGGCCGCTTAGACGTTCTTAAAGTGAGAGCGGGTACTTTAGCACAGTCAGCCTGTCAGACAATCTATCGGTTCCACTAACCAGTCTGCCACCGAGCTGGCCATTTTGATTGTTAAGTAGTTAGCTGGTTAGTTAGTAAGCAAGTCCGCCAGCGAGTCAGGCAACTAGTGGGCCAACAAGTTCGGAAACTAGGCAACGAACTTGACTTTCCATTCGTCCGATCCATCAGTCATTCCCATCGAATGTCGAAGCCGCCATATTGGTTTGTTAAGATTGTGTACAGCCTGGAACAGACTGACACGACTACAACCCCCTTAAAATCGATCATTTTCACCCCCACCCTATCGTTTTCTTTTTCACTCGTTCCAGGCTTACTTCGATCCCGGCAATCCAATATGGCGATTTAACAGTAGATCAAAATATTTGGCATTCGTTCGCTAAAAATAGGCACCTCCTTCAGTTTATGCTATATAGCTCGGACAGTCACTAGGCAATACTTATCGATCATCGAGACATTCTCCGAACTTTTAACGGTTGCCCAAGTCATTTTACCATTTGCAATTTCGCTTTGAGTTTTAAGCATAACTGCTCACCCAAGAAGTATCATTCACAATCATTCGCTCGTTTAACTATCTTGTCGAATTTCAACATTTCCAAACTACAGGACAGCTGAGGTATTCGGTGATAGTCGTTGATAGTACATGATGGTTCTTGTAACTACAATATACATCCATATCAACTCTGCATTTATTATTAACTGTTTATAGGAGATCCAAGGTGATCAAAACGTAAAGAGGATATACTCAAACAGTTTCCGATGGAAGAAAACGCAAGGGGAAAAACTCTTTGCGTGTTTATCCTTGGAGGACTTTCACGCCAAGAAGGAGGTAATTATTCGCAGTCAGAATTCTTTTTGTTTTTTGTTTCTATGCTTTTTTTTCTTCTCGTATTAGTGACCCAGGAGAGTTCAGATCTAGATCCACCAAATAATCGGTTGACGGCTACATCTTGTAATGAAAACGTTAATGACAGTGCATCATCGCAATTTATCTTTTAGTATCTCGGTAATTTCCTTCAAAAACGTTGCTCTAAAGCTGTGATCAAAATCTGTTCGTCTAGTAGCTCTGAAGGCATGAACATTGGTTGGTAAATTTCATACAAAGAACGTCGATTGTATTAGTTTAATTTTGTAATAAATCAACAAAGTGTGAAACCAATCACGCATTATTTTCCAGCTTGAAAGGAAGAAGGTTGACCATATGAAGCTGGCAGAAAATGTCGTTTGCAGCTTGCCAGTCAGCGACGCCTCGATGATGAAAGCTAAAATAAAGTTAATGAATGAAGATGAAGAGAATATCTTGGAGATTGGAGAGATGCACGTGGACCTCTTAACAGTGAGTTTTTGTCATTGAAATCAATTTTGTTTCAAGAATTTCGCCCCTATGTGTATCTAGCTGCCAGATATTCCAATGCTACCCCTCAATATTCTGAATGGTGACTTTAAATAGCCAAGTATTTCCAGAGAAATTAAGCTTGAAAAATACCCACACGAAGGCATCAAGAATGCTGCAGATGTTCCAGGAAAATGTTGTGAAATGAGGCTGGATGGTTGAGATTATATAATCATGTATCATCAGTCTTTTACACCCTAACATCAATATGCATATTCTCCATACTGTTCTCTATAACTTTCATATGGTATTAATTAAGTGAATTTGTTTAAAAATCAAGAGACTCTCTAGTTGATGATCACTTCCTTGTCATGACCTCAATGTCTGTTTCAGATGTGATACTGATAGGAGAAATTAGCTGGTAATCACTCTTAGGGATTAAAGGATTAAATTAGGCTAATTCTAAATGATTTCCACTGCTTCACCGTAATTACAATAGTAACATCATTATTAATAATAACCACGCAAATTTTCAAAGGTGTTTTAAGCTCCTATTCCACTTACCTTAAGTAAAGCAAGGATATTTCACGCGGGCACTAGTCTTGCTCACCTGGAGCTTATCACTAAGTGCTGTGGCTGTGAGTAAACAACACAAAATGTTAACTACTTTGAAAATTACTTTTCTTTAGTTTCAGGGCGGCGAAACACGTGCTGGGGAGGAGCACGAGTTTAAAGACAATGAACCAGTTGAACAAGATATAGCAACTTAGGTAAGGTTGAACTAGTTTCTAGTAAGTTTCTTTTTTCTTTTTTTTTTTTCCATTATTGTAGAACTGCGCAAATAAAACATTTTATGCCCATAATGTTCACTTAATAAAAGATATTATATATACCAAACTTTTCCCATCGGGAATCACATAAGATATATATGTATGTACAGACGGTCAACACCTTCAACCCTGATGATGGCAAATAGCCGAAAACGTTTGGTTTTAACATTTCATTTTGCTTAATCTTTTTAGCCTTGTATATATAATGTAAAACATTTTATTTTATGTTAATTTTGTACCACCTGGAGAGAAGCTCTAGACAAGGTACGTAGTTTTATTCGAGATAGCTTCTTCTAATCTTGTATCATTTTATTCTATTTTTATTTTCCCGTCAGCTTTCTTTTAGCCATAATCACCAAGTATAACATTTTTTCGCCTGTATTTTTGCAGGGTACAATCTGTATTTTAAGATGATCTTAGGTTTAAGGTGGAAGAGAAGGCGACTAGTTTGTAAAGACATTTTAGCTTTGTTTTAATGCAATTAATTTTCTCTCAACTCTACTAGAGAATGTCAAAAAATGGTAAAATCGTCGAGATTCAGCGTCACCCATTCTCAGCTAATATGGAAAATTGATTTTGAACTTGTAATTGTCTTTCTCCCAGACATTTTAACGAGAAGACCGGTTGGTTTGTTTATAGTGATTTTTTATCTTTCTATTTGTTATTCCAGCTAAAACTAGGCCGTGGCTGTGACGAGAGGCAGTAGGTTAGGTAAACTTTGAGCGGCATTGATCCCTTTGCTTCGTTGCTCGTGTTTTTAAGATTAAAATTGAGTAAGGAAGATGATTTTGTAGGAAGGCATTCTAAAAGCTTTTTCTAGAACATGAACCACCATTTGAACAAATTTTATCAAGCGCTCCAGGAAAGGAAAACGGTGCAGTGTGGACATTGTTGTGAAACGAAATAAAAAGGTATTTTAGTCGGCAGGGCAGAGAGCTACAAAAGAACTAACGAGCTGATCCAAGATTCCAATCATTTAAGAGAGACTCATTTTTTCTGAAGGTTTTTGTTGTCGCTGCTAAATTATACACTTCGCAGTTGGTATTTAACCAAATTAAAGTTGAAGGTGTCACTGGTATGCATCCTCAAGAAATTCTTCCTTTTATGGCGTTTTATTCAGTGTTGAGTTGTGATTAAATATCTTTTGAATGTTTGAACGAGATAGGAACAACCTTAGATGTACGAGTCGCTTTGCAATTGTGTGGGATACAGCTGTGTAAAGGCTTTTCAAAAAATACGTTCCTTATAGCGTAACAGAAAAAGGTACCATATTACAAACGTCTTATAGGAAGACAAATGCGTAAATTTACTAATATAATGATCTATTATGCTTTATTTCTAGATTTCTTGCTTGAAAGGTAGGGTATTGTTTTGAATATCAATCGTGTATTTTGCAGCCATTTGTTAATAGGTTTTGAAGAAGAAATATAGTTCAATTGGCATGAAAAAAAGAAATTAAATAAAACACAAAAACACCAGGTGATGATTTTTTTAAAGAAAAGCTGCTGTGCCAAGTTAGGAAATCAGGATGTATATTGTCGTAAATGGCCAAGCACTTCCAAAAGGTTAAACATGAATTTTGAACATGAACTTTGAACTTTGAACTGAATAACAAGGAAATAGAGTGCTTGAGCTCCTCCCCACCCTCAAAATAAAAAAAAGTTTTGCAAAGAGAATAAAAAGGCATGTTTAAACATTTTGGTCAGAGGAAAATAACCATACAACTGCATGCATTGCTTTATGGATTAAAGAAAAACACGAGCGTTTTGGTGTCAGGATAATTTTGAGTTTTTCTTTTTTTTAATGCAAATGCCTTGAGTGGAGCATGAGTAAAACTCGAAGTTCTCCCTTATACTCGTTAGGCTGCGAAGCCCGGCATAAATTAGGTTACTAATCTAGTCCCTGTAAAGGATTGAATTTGATCCCAAATGCATGTGTGACATTGTGGAATAAATGTTATTTGAAACAGTGGATGATGACGAATTGATCATCGCCGGTAAATTAGCTGTATTTCGGTGCCACCACAGATACCGACGCCTGAAAGAAATTAGGCGAGCTGTGCTTGAACGCTGCGTAATTCTACTAACTTAGCCTCCAAGCAGCATGGTAGGGGAAAACAAGGAAAACAAAAAACAAAAAACAAAAACAAAAAAACAAAAACAAACAAAAAACAAAACAAAACAAAAAACAAAACAAACAAAACAAAACAAAACAAAACAAAAAAAAAACAAAACCAATAAAAAAGACCACAACTATGTTACTCGAATCGATCTAGTTTGACAAAAGCTTTTAGACGAATTTTTGTGTTGAGTGTGATTAAACATATTGTTGAAAATGTGAATCGGCACTAGCACATAAAATACTCTCAATGGACCATGCTAGTTGAGAATGGGTGTTAGCAATGATAACATAGGTTAAAGCGAAAACAGTCAAAAATTGTTTGTACAGGTTTCTTTTAAACTTAAAGCTTTCTATCAGTTCAGTATTCATACTGACATAAAATGCTCGTGATATTAGAATGAACCTTACCCGAACGTTCAATTTTTTTTTTCATTTAAAACGCTTTAACTTAGCTTGTTATTGCATGATTCCCAAGTTTGGCATATGAAACCACTGCTTCTAATTTCAGTAAAACTCAGCAAGGAAATAGCAACTTGCGAACTTGTGTTCCCTTTTATCGTTCGTGACAATTGATTATAATATGTGGCTGCTGCCAAGTGCTGCCAGAACAAAATCACACTCCAAAAAGATTAAAAGAAGGTACAACATCAGAATTCACGATGAAATGGGACTTAACTCGCAAGGTAGAAGTAAGATAACAAAAGCTAAGTTGGAAGTGATACTAGCTTGTGAATATAGTCCCACATGCTAGCTTAACTATGAATATAGTGATTTGTTCGATGTTAATTGTTCAACAAGTCCTTAAAATGACAAGTACTGTTTGTCATATTGAAAAGAAATCCAAATAGCATAGTATCCTTAATAGATATCACGAGTCTTGCAAATGAATATGTGTATTTTAGTGTTTGAAAAAGTGGGGTGTGTAAAGCAAACTGGGATAATAAAAGAGTGGGAAAGAAAAAAAAAAAAAAAAAACACCCCTGGTATCTTATAAAATATCATGAGTAAGTACCTAGCCTTTTTTTCCCCTGATAACCATGAAGTTTTTTTTTGGCCGGGTGTTCATTAACTTCCTCTTCATTAACTTACTGTTAGTTATTTGTCACTAATTAGTGCGTGTACTAAAGACTTAATAATTCTCCCTTATTGGTTCTCGCTTCGATAGGATGTCCCATAATGGGACATCATTGAGTCAAACCTGTATCCAATTAGCGTTTTCCATATTAAAAAGGAGATATGAAACATATGAGTGAACTGCGGTTATGAGACGTATATAAGAACGATCCTTCGCAGTAAAGCACTATTATAAGCACTATTATAAGCACTATTATAAGCACTATTGCTTAAATAGTGCTTTACTGCGAAGGATCGTTCTTATATACGTAAAAAGGAGATGTTGCTAATCTATTCTTAGAGTTACCAGTATATTCAAGATACGTTGACTGTTGCTGTACTTGTTAGTATTCTTATATGAGATAGAATGTACAGTACTTTGTCTTTGTAAGAATAAATAAAAATGTATCTTGTCTGTTGTTTGAAGGAATGAGTGGATACGTTTTCCTATTCTTTGGAAGCTTGGAGATTATTATTAACTCCCTTCTCTTTAAGAAGAGAGGAATGATAAAGTTTTGGATAAAGGAAAAGTTCGGAGATAGTATGGGGATGGGGGAAGTTTCTAAAGAAAGTTGGGCTGCGTCGATGTGGGTATCAAAATATATAACTGAGTTAATATGATATTACAAGCCATCGCAAAAAAAATGGAGTTTCAAGCGTTCGTCATTCGTTTACAAGGAATTCAAAAAAGGAACTTACCGTGTAAAAAGAGCACTTTTAGCTGAATTCAGTGTCAGAAATTGAGCAGCAGCGTTTGAAGTCGGACACAAGAGTCTAAAATCGGGCACTACTGTCGAAAATCGAACGTCAGTGTCTAAAATCGGACAGCAGTGTATATAATCGGCCCCTAGTGTCTAAAATCGCACACTAGCGACTTGAATTGCATCTAACACACTCCTATCTGAAAGTGGACATTAATGTCTAAACTGTATTTTAGACACTAGTGAAAAGGTGCGACATGTTGAGTTTTATGGGACCCCGGCCTATGAGTAAAAGCTGCTTTGTCAGTTTTCTTTCAAATTTTATGTCAAATTGAAAGGTCACCATCCTTGTTTCGTATTTTCCCAGAAAAGCCTTTTGTAGTTCTGTTATAGCCTTTGTTGTCGTCATTGTCAAAAGCACCTTGATCATTATTATCATCATTATTATTATTATTATCATCATTATTATTATTGTTTAACACCCAAGCTCTTTTTCAGCACACCTTTATTATTTCGGAATTGCACATTTTTCATTTCAGCTTTTAATTGCTAAGTTAACCTGATCACTGCAACTTTAGAAACGTGGAACTGCGAAAGCTTTTAGGGTTATAAGCTTCACCTAGAATACAAAACAAGCCTGCGAAGCATGTGTAAAACCTCTAACCTCATGCTTAATTTCGTACCAAATGCTCGCAAATTCTACAAGTGAAGAAAATCTCAGGGAAATAAAATACTTGTGCTAGCCTGGTGGAGCTTGGAAAAAGCAGTTTGCTTTCATGAAATTAAAATATTCACCATCGAAACTTACGAAAACCACATGAGATTAACATCTTGTTGAGAAGCACGAAATTGTTAATACCATAATAATACATCGTCCTAAAACGCTCAGTGGTTGCCTTAATAAAGCTGTATTCTATCACAGAGCCCTGAAGTTAGCCACATTATGTTTACCAAGGTATGTAAGTCTTGTAAACTCTCACGGCTTCAACATAGTTGTTTTCACTCGAATTTCTTTCTCTCGCCCTTGAGATTAAATATTTATTAGACGGTCTGCAAAATCATGCGGACCGCTTCCTCTACCCGCTATATAAAATCCTATGTCGACGTGTGCAAATAAAGCCTGAAGGACCTTCAGAGAGGATGCCCACAGAGGATGGTACACTGGGAAGCGCTAGGGTTAAAGGAAAAAACTAGGGCCCAGTTGTTCGAAGGCTAATTAGCACTAACCCAAGGTTAAATTCTAATCAGGGTTTCTTTAATCCTTTGTTCACAAGTCTTTTATGGGATAACATTCCTTACACTTTTTAGAGCATCCAAACACCAAGTTGTAGACAAAAGGAATTCCATTGAATTTCCTTTTAAAGCTTTCAGATCTGAAATCAGCTTTTACGGTAACCCTGGTTTATCTTAACCCAGCTTTGAACAACCCGGCCCAGGTTTGCCTGAAAATTTTCATGTAGATAAACTCTCCCAGTTCTTTTAGGAAATCAGTCAGTAACACTGGATCCTGTGAAAAAGAGATGAGTTCGAGGTTAGCTTTAGCGGGAAGCGATAGAAATAAAGTTTAATTTGTATATTTAATGACCTTATCTTATATTGATAACAACATCACACAGCATACACAACAAGGCATGTTAAAAACTATTTTTTACAATTAGTCTACAAATATTTTCTTCAAATAACCAAAAACTGTGGGAGGAAGTTTAAATAAAATAACATTCGCTGTACTTGTTGACTAGGGGATAAACCAAAGCAGTATTTTCTAGTCTATTGCGATCAAAAAAAATTCCACAAATAAGCATAAGATTCATTTCCTACCATTCGTCTCTGGAGCCTCGTGTGAGAGTGTGACTCAAGAAGCGAGAGATATATTTCAACTGGGTGGACTTTCCTGGTCAAAAAAGGAGAACCTGGAATTCATAAATTCAACTTTGAATTGGAGCCTACAACGCTTATTGCTATGATTATAAATATCATCTTTATTATGATTTTAAATTATTATTGTAAATTCCAGTATTAATTCTATTATCCTTATCATCTTTATTGCTGCTATTATTACCATGACCACCTAACTATTAGCATCATAAGTTATTGCTTGAAATCTAAGAATAACATACTCATAAAAAATTGTTTAGGATTGCAGATTAAATGCACAGATGTAATGGCACAATCATGATTACTTATCATTTCCTTCCTCCCTTGACTAGCAAATATAACTTACCGTGTGGAGGTTTCACGGGGTTGCCTTTATGTTTCTTTGGCTGCTTCACTCCTACGCCTCGTCTCTGAAAAATAAACGAATTAGAGTTATATTATTCAAAGCAATTTTGAGCGAGTAAGTTTTTACTCCAATCTCGTATTTCATGGGCGTAGTTTCGATACGTACATGAACAAAGCTTGCTAGCTTGACTACGACAGTGAGATAATAGCGCTCTCTGCTGCGAGGGTCGTGCATCATACGTAACAGTGAGAAAATGTTAGATCCCGATTGAAGAAAAATTTGGTCACTATTATTTTGTCCGAGTTATTAATTGTTATTTTCATTATTGTCATTATCCGTATTTTATTGATTTTTTTGTTGTTGTTGTTTTCATCATCATCAACATTATCATTATCATTGTTATTACTTGTATTGTTATTATTATGATTATTATTATTGTCATCATCATAATTATTTTTTGATAGCCTGCCGTTGATTTACCTGCTCGAAAAAAGCCACCATCTCAGTATTGGCGCTGTCATGATCATGTGAGACTGTTATTTCGCAAAAGAACTGCTGCTTCGTGAGATCCACGTGACTTACTTTAAAGACACAGAGAGGGAAATTTACGGAGTTTTCAGGCGAATTCCATGCAGTCTTTATACTTATCACCTAAAATAGAGACATCCAAACAGACAACATCATTTCCCAATCATAGCTTTTTAAACTGATTGGCCACAAATTTGTCGCAAATTTTCTATGCACCACTGATTCAAAAAGTGTCAAGGAAAGCCTACCCCTAAGAATAAACTTTAAGTATTCATAATTTGGAAACTCCTCATTCAAACTTTGTCAATGCAAATTTTCTCAAAGACGAGGGACAATCTTCTCGTAGTCAGTGGGCAACCAACACTTATAATACGAATCTTCTTTTTCGAGAACACTGGACAGTATATTTTGCATGATTTACACTTTGAGTGATTTTTTGGCAGTTTCTCAGAAAGCATAGTATCCCGTTCCAGAGTTTAGAACCAATTATTGAGAAGGCGTTCCGTTTTTGTTTTCTTTTATTGTGTATTTCACGTTTTTAGAGTTTCAGTGTAATTTAAGTCCGCTTGATTGGCTTTAAAATTGACTCTGATTTCAATGTAACTTTAATTGGACGTTTTTCTTCTCTATACGCCTTACTTTCTTAAACAATAAATCTATATTCATTGCAGACCAACTATAAACTTTTTCTCGCCATCACAAACATCAGTTCACCTTTACGTTGGCTCCTTTTATCTCCCATCCTGGATCCAGATCAGTTAACTCAATTTTGATGTTTTCCTTGCTGTTGGACACAAACAAGCCTGAAAGAGTTGTAAGAAGTCGGTTCCCTTTTTCTTCTTCTTTCTTGCAAACCATCTGTTATAAAGTAAATATGATACGTTAACAAGCTAAACAAAGCCAACCACTAAACGGAGTAAAAAGAATGAGTAAATTATTAAAAAATAATGAACTATGAATAATTAAACAGATTTATATAACGCTAAGAAGCTGATGAAACACTACTCCGAAAGAGTTCTTGTCTTTATCTGAAAAAGAAACGTCCTGGTCGCGTTCAGAAGCTGACTTTTTCTTCTGCTGAGTCAGCTTTTTAGAATTGAATATGAACCAGTAACGTCTGAATCTTCATTGGACCTAATGTGTTGACAGCAATTTATGCTTCCACTGTTATTTCTATTTTATCATAAATAAATATTACTCCTACTATTACAATCCTAAGTATTTTCATAGTTATTATTGTTATTATTATTACTGTTATCATTTATTATTATTTATTATTATTATTATCATTGCTATTATAATCGCAGAGAAATCAACTGAATGCTTCATTCTAATCAAGCAGCACAGGGCGAAAACCGTAACCTGTGAGCCATGGAGTAAAAAATAAATGTACATTAACTAATCCTAAAAAGCTTTTTCGTTGTGTCTACGGTCCTCCTTCTAACAGGAACTCAAACTGCCACCTTGAAAGTCCGGGCAATATTCAGCGTGCCCGAGAGCACTGCCCTCTGCATCTTTCGCAGTACGTCTGTACTTCTGCCTCCCACCAACTCGCGCATCATGACATCCAGCTCCCGTGACCACCCCCCGAGGGCATCCATTATGATGTTATATTGCTCCACCTCGTAGCCTGGGAGCTGCTGCCTTAGTTCCCATAGAAGGGGTCCGTACTTCAATGTCTTCTCTTCATCTTTTCTTGTCCGATTGTTAACCAACGGGCAGCTCATTTCCAGCGTCACAACTCTCTGGCACATATGATTTACAATGCGTGCATCCACCCTATTGCATCTGACCTCTTGTTGATCAGCATATATAGGGACATCCCGATAAGCTTTAACATTCTCTGACTCATACACGGGCTTGGGCTTGTCGGGTGAGTACCAGGGTGGTATCTCGTCTATAACTCCCTCATCATACAACAGTTCGTAAAACAGTACCTTCAGTGATGCGTCGTGTCTAGAGAGATACTTGCCCTGGGCCAGCGCACTGCATCCTGACAGGATATGAGCCACGCTCTCTGGAGCCTTACCACATAATCCGCATCTCACCTCGCCTTCCCCGCTTGTGTGGGTCTTCTGACTCTGTATACTCGCGTTGGCAAGAGCTGCTCGTATAGCTCGACGAGTCCAGCAATTGTGTGTGATGGGCAGTTCTTCCACTCTGTGAGCCACCAGAAACACCCATCGGCACTCAAACTCTCACCCTCCAGCCTGGTAGTCACTAGACGCCCTTGCCATCGTTGGTTTCTGATCTCATCTTCTAATTTCTCAATTTGGCACCTCCGCACCTCTTTCTTCATCTCTTGCTCGTGTTCCAAATCCAACTCCTGCCCAAACTCCTCCGCGCACTTAGCCGCTTCTTTAAAAATGGACTTAAGCCCCATCCTTGCCGCTTGCTCTTCAAACTCCCGTACCATTCCCAGTGCACGATCTTCATTCCCATGGAGTCTGACTGCACCCTTGATTTTTGTGGCTTTGTACTCCATTTTAACAGAGCGCAATCCCCGCCCTCCTTTACTTTTTACCATATACAACAATGCATTCGAACATACATTATCATTAACATTATTATTATTATTATTATTATTATTATTCATATCGTCGTCCTCACTTGCATTACTATTAACATTACCTTAAACGCCATCGTTGAATCATCTATCAAATATACCCGAATATTCCAATTGCGACCTTGTGTGGGCTCTTTTCCAAAGATCGCCATTTGCATTCGTTTCTGGTCATCTTCTCTTGGCACTCCAAAAGCAGCAACCTCGAGATTTTTTGTTAGCACAGGCAACTTCAACTCAATATCGTTGTGTTTTATCTCCACCTCAGCATCGGGGTAGACCTCCATTATATTTCGCCACTTTTTCTTCCTCTTGCGTTGATTAGAATATGGTCGGCAGTTGACTAATATGGTCCAGGAATTTCCCTCCGCCATCAAACAGCAGTGTTCGATCAAAGTCGGCTGTCCATTTTTGTGGACTTTGTAGCAACCACTAATCATAAAAGAACTGGAGATACCGTTTTTGAATCCTTTTCCTATTGTTGGGAAATCAATGCAGTCGCTTTTGCTTTTAACTCGGGAACAACTGAAAAAGGTTTGACGATAATGAAACCTGCAGCAAACTTTGAATACCTGTCTTGCGTTTAATGAACTTTGTAGACGCATTTTGTAATCCCCACCCGGAAAGAAAGTCCAAGATCTGGACAAGTCATTCATCTATCACCTGAGTGAGAATTTGAGGGGGGAGGGGGTGCGGGGGATCAGAGAATTTTGGTTGGGTCAAAATTAAATGTACCTGATCCTCCCATAAGGCTCTGTAATATTCTTATAAAACCCCAATTTTGACTGTCAATTTTTTACAGATCCTCCTTTAGCCTCTGTTGATAACAAGTGAATCCCCAACAGTTCCCCAAGAAAACTATGTGGTTCTCAAATACCCACTCCCACCCCAAATAACGACTGGTTCCTTAGAAAAAAAATTATTTATGTAAATGAAGTCCATGCGAAGCTCCCACCCAATTCCCCCCCTCCCCCATCTCCCACCCCTTACCCCGCCGGAGATGAATAATAAGTGGTCCCTTGGAGAAAAATAAAGATAAATGACGGAGACCTATTTATGTTTCAGTGTTTCATGGAAAAGCGGGAAAGTTCTAGAAAATTACAAATGTTTCAGCCTCAAAGCATTATGTTGCGACATTGCGGTGATGCAAAAGTTATGGTGCAATATATTGGTAAATTCTTGTAGTGTCAATGAGTAGGCTTCAAAAAGTCAAAATTGATTAATAGGCTCCCGTTTTCTTATGGTAAAGAGCAGCGCATGCAGCTTCAATTTCTTCACTACAAAAACCGTAAATATACATTCGAAGTTCCAAGTCTGACTTTCTGCACGATATGAAAGCCTATTTTAAATATGCATGTTATTAAACCAGTAAAATTAAGGAGCAGGTCAGGTAGGAAATGCAAATCCTATCAGAAAACACGATGCAACTCAGAGAAATAAGAAAAAAAAGCCTTGCTGCAATTAATGAAGTAAAGCAAAATAGAAATTCTGCCTGAAAAGGTTTGTTGCTCGATCGATAAGAATAAAAACGTATGTTAATATCGGTTTTACCCCTTAATTTGCATATTTGTAACCCCTGACTTGCCTGCACGCATCTTTGCTGTCGCGGTTCGTTTTCTGATCCGAGTCGTCAAGTTATGATGCGATGAACATCTCTTTCCCTGCTATTGAATCTAAAATTATGCTTATCAGCTTATTTTGAAATGTAAACAAGGCCAAGGGGTTTCCCCCTGATGAATAAATCATAGGTTGCCACAAAAAAAAAAAAAAAAACCCATCAGCGTATTTTCGTCGCAAAGAACGCTTATTTTCCATATTTTGGTCTCAAACTTGGATAACATTACAGAGCTAGCTCTGCACTCGGTTTGTAGTCCGTTTTCGTTTTCCATCAAATTTAATCTGGTTGAACAAAATAGAAATACGTGATGCTTTGAAACAACGAGATAAATTGTCAATACACAAAAGATGGGGTTTTTCCCTTGAAACTGAAACTGCTTGCAAAGTCAAACATTAAATAAATTGAAAGTGAACCTGCTTGGGAATTACCCTTTTCGGATGCACGTCTCAGCAGGGTCCAGGTGATCTAATATAACGAGATTAGGCATTGATGAAAGCATTTCTTCTGCTCTTGTACTAACTGGACAAGGCTCGCCGAACGTCACCAACTTATGACCTCAAAGTTGTCCCTTGGGAAAGAAACTAAAATAATCGTTTCATATCAAGTGATATTAGGGTCTTATCAGGTAAGTAACGGAAGGAAGATATCGTTTCCTTGAGGCGATGTTTAATGTCTGAGAAAGAGTCTATCGTCACCGCCACGATACGGGCTTTTCAAAAAGTGTGGAAAAAGTAGATTTCTCGCAGATTTTTAGTATCCGAAATGGACACCCAGGAAAACCTTTGCAATACAATTACGCCAAAGTATTATACGAGGCAATGGCGGGCTAGGAAAAGCATATATAGCATTCACAACAGTAGAAAAATTTTAGTTTCTACGGGTCTGACCGAATGAAAATTGATAACAGAAAACTACAAAACCGAGTCCTCTATAGGTTTCAAGTAGCGATTATTTGAGGCCGAAATCAGTGGTTTAAGCAGCTTCTATGGGGAACATAAGATTCGCCCCTGTTAAAAAAAAAAAAAAAAAAAGAAAGAAAGAAAACAGCCTCACAACATATTTTGGCTTAGATGTAAATAGGGTTATAGACGCGGTGATAACCCTTTGGTTCGGTGAAGTATGATTTCGAAATGGTCTTTGTGAATTCAAACTTAACTATAACAATCGGCATCATCTCCCACAGGTGTTTTGGACAATCACACATCGTTTTCCTTCAGAAAGAGTGGATAAACGATTTCTTACATGTTAATGTACTCAGAGCTTCAGAAGAAGGACAATTATCTATTTATGCTCAAGATGATTGGATTAAGTATTGCCTGGCCAGGCTGAAGGGAGTATTGCCGAAGAGCTGAAATATTGGCTTCAAAGGTAACTTGAGCGATTCTTTCAACTTATTCGCGTTTTGTGTATCGACGCGTAGATGGAAAATCTTTATATCTACAGGGCTGTAATAGTTTGGTCACGCTTCGTAGCAACCCAAACTGTAAATTTAGTTTAATAAGGTTCTTAAATAAAAGTTGTTGATTCTTTTTTTTTTTTTCCTTTAAGTTCTTTTCTTTTTTCATTTTCGGAGGGGGGTACACAGTTTGTCTTTTTCCTGAGAGCTTATTTGTCCAGCCATGAATAGGGAGAATAGCTAAGACAATTGTCTTAAAGCCGTCAGCATAAAATATCAGATGCTGCTCCTAAATATTGCACTATATATATCGTTTATTTCGTGTAGTCCTTTGATATCACCAGGCACATATTTGTGTACATACCATCTGTTCTTTAAACTGAGTTCTTTTGGGGATCGCTATTGTGGAGGATACATTCGCTCGGATCATGAGACACACGGATCCATAAGATATATCGTGCACCATGCATTCCTTATCGTCCATAAATAGCTACTTTGACCATGGGTTAACTTATATACTCCTCACACACTGTTTCTTTTCATAGGACAGAAACTAGCGAAGAAATAACAACAACTTCAGGATCTATTTGTTAAATACAAGAATCCAATATGTCAGACTACATTCCCTTGCCAACCCAACAGTCTTGTACCGATGACGAATATTACAGAATAAACGTGTTCAGCTACGCACGACCAACCCCAATTGGCGGTACAGGACCACTTAAACAACTAGTTATGTTTATAACGAGGGCCTTAGAAGATTCTGCGCTGTTATCTATGGAACAGGTGAGAACTGAGGATTTATAAAATTATGGAACATACTTGTATATGATTCATGATAAGGGTCCACAACTAGAGAGGTGATATGAGGGGCTGGGGTATGGGCTAGGGTTTGAAGATGTAAAGAAGCAATTATTTTTTTTTCCTTTATTTTTTTGTACATCTAAGGCGGAAACCTTTGAACACATTAGGTAGAAAGTGAAAACGGTGGTCCACTTTCCTAAACTCTTGCCTCTCAGTTCATTATTAGGAACAGAATTCACTAAGAAAATCGAATAATGGAATACATTTTTTCCATGCAGAAGCAGTTTGATCAAGGTATGATCAATTTACGGTCTGTATATTCAGACAGTTTTTGCTGGAGGAAAAGCGAAGGTACCAAGCTTCTTGCCCATTTAGTCATGGAAGATTTCCAAGCCGAAAAGCAGGTAAAACCGTTTTCTTGATTTTTCTGGTCTTAGTGCTTTGTGTTGCTGTCCTTTCAGATCTCCGATAATTTATGATCATAAATATATTTCTCTATCCAGCGCGGTGCGAAGAGCGGTACGTTAAAAGGCCTGTAAGATTGTGATAATAAGTGCATTACTGACCAACCTTTTGGTGTCTACTTCCCAGGTCGATCGACGCAAAATTGATGAAATGAAACTTGGCAAGAATCTCATTTTTACCATGCCGAAGAGCAATGCGTCCTTCATGACAATGGAGGCGACACTAATGAACGAAAACCGAGATATAGTTTTTCAAACAGGAGAGTTGGACCTGGATCTATCAGCGGTTTGTTAATTCTTTAATAGCGTATGATTTTGAACTTTAGACCCATCAATAAAAAGAGAAAATTGTTGGCAATTCCACTATAAATATTGAGCTCGCTGATGGTTTCCTATTATGAATATATGTAGGTTCCACTGTACATGCGTGATAATTACTCATTAACTCTAGAATGTAATAAGTTAAGTTGTCTGTACACTAGCTCAAGGATTCTTTGCATGATGCATGATACGTAATGAATTCAATTTTTTTCAGCTTCAAGACGAGACACGCCCTGGTGTGGAAAATGTGCATGAAGAAAATCAGCCGATGGAGATGGAGGCATGATGCCGCGTTCAACGTAGAGATAAATAGATTATTTTAATACTAGTTTTTAAAAGGAAATTTCTTTTTAATTTGCTCTACTTAGCATTAAATTGGTAAAGGTAATCACATGAGTTTGAGTGCAAGTTGGTGCAGATAAGCACAAGCAATTTCTTTTAAAGACCAAAAAAAAAAATGCTCAAGTCTGTAATCTTTGAAAAAAAGATACGCGTGCTTTTCAATTCCTAAAAAAAAAAAATCATGTGATTAACTACTGGTAACATAGAGGGGAAAATGGAGATGTACACAAATTGCTAGTAGAACCAATGTACTCAAACATGCCAGTTTTTCTTACTCTTTTCTTTTTTAACTTTTTTTTGTTCTTCGCATTCAATCAAACAATTTTCTAGCCGTGTTTAGTTTCGTTCTTTTTAATTTTTCTTTTATAACCTCACTTTTTAACTTACTTTTGCACTTTTTTTTTCGCGTTGAGTTCGCTATGAAAACAGCATTTCTTCTATCCAATCAGATCTAAGAACTTTTTTATGTCATTTACTAATAACAGAAAAACAGTTCTTTATCGGGCCATGCGACAAAGCAAAGGTGAAAATTATCGGCTATTCCTACATTAAGTTTAAGAAATTCTTTTCCCATATAAAATGTTATAATAAATATAGAAAAATCACTGTTTGGAGACTTAAACTACGATCTATCTCCAAAGAAACTGCTTCACGATACAGAAGAAGTCATCAGATTGTTTAGCACCTATCAATTTTCCCAACTTATCGAAGACCCTACGAGAATCACCGAAGCATCAAAAACTTTAATTGACGTGGCATTTACAACCAACGCTGACAGAATTGTTACTTCTGGCTTTTTGAACTGTTCTATTAATGATCACCGACTTGTTTACATCGTCCGACGAGCGAGAATTCCCAGAGGAGAAATAAATACTGTGCGATGTAGACGCTTTAATAACTATTCTTCTCAAACTTTGGCTGATGATCTGCACTCTGCCTCTTGGAAAAACATCGACACCTCCATCACAATAAATGAAGCTTGGAT